ATTGGTGCTTGATCATTGAAAAATTTAAACACAAATAAAAGAATTTTAAATAAAATGCGTTCTTTGATGGGTAGCCAGTGAAGCGAATTAATCAGCTGTCTGGCATCACTACGTCTGTCTTCACGATATATGAGACGTGCAGACCAATTCTGAAGACGTTGTAGTTTCCTAATGTGTGCCTGGGTAACCCCTGTAAGGAGACCATTACAATAATCTAGTCTAGAGAGTACATGACTTCTCACTGCATGGTTACATGCGTCTTTAGTAATGTACTTTCTAATCCGTGATACATTTTTCAATTGAAATCGTACAGATTTACAAATGTTTTCAATGTGATTTGACATTGACATATTACAATCAAGATAAACACCAAGATTTTTTATAGATGTGGACGGTGATATTTCAGTTGACCCAATATTAAGAACGATACTGCCCAACTTCTGTAGATTATTTGGTGAACCAATGGCTAAAAATTCCGTTTTATCTTCATTAAGTTTAAGTTTATTTTTTAACATCCAAGCTTTTATGTCTCCAATGCACGAAGACAGTGTTTGCAGTACCACATTCAGATCATCTGCTTTCCTATGATGAAACGATAAATAAAGCTGTGTATCATCAGCAAATGCATGATACGAGACACCATAGAATCTGGCAATATCTGCAACTGGCAAAGTGTAAATAGTGTAACCTATAGGCCCAAATACCGATCCCTGTGGTAACCCTACTGTATTACTAACTATCTCTGATTGTGTGCCATTTATTTCTACACAAGTTTTCCAAGTTTCAAGGTATGAACGAAACCACTTTAATGCTACATCTCGAACTCCTAACCTCGTGGACAATCGTTTCATCAAGATTTCCCTATCTATCGTATCAAATGCTGATGATAAATCTAATGATAACAATAGAACAATTTGACCCTTGTCTAATAAAAGCATGATATCATTCTTCACCTTAATTAAAGCACTTTCAGTGCTATGATATGATCGATAGGCGGATTGATGAACATCCCATAACTTATTTTCGGTCATATGATTTGTGAGTTGACTACAAACAACTTTTTCAATCAGTTTTCCTAGAAAACTAAGATTAGAAACAGGCCTGTAATTACTAAGACAATTTTTATCAAGATTGTATTTCTTTAACAACGGTCTAATAACTGCAGTTCTTGCTGCAGATGGAAACAAACCTGTAGCCAATGAAGCATTAACAATGTCTGTAACAAGAGGAAGCATTGTATTAATATTTTGTTTGAGAAACCAGGTAGGAACAGGGTCTAAACAACATGACTTACTAGGTGAAGCAAGTATAATTTTTAACAATTCATCTTTACTTATTAAGTCAAAACTGGACAGTGATTTAGAACATTGTAAATCTCTCTCACATGGATCATAAACGGCATTGAAATGGTCATTACATAAATCTCTCCGAATTTTATGTATTTTATCCAAAAAATAAGTGGAGAAATTGTTACACAGTGTTATCAATGAATTATATACAGGAAGAGATGGTTGTTTTCTATGTAACAAAGTATCTAACACCCTATAAATATCCTTTATCTCATGAGTATCAGACAGGTTCTTGAAGTATGCAATCTTTGTACGACATATTCAACTTGTAACTTCCCGTTGCTTCACCAAGAAATGTTGATAGTCAGTATCTAAGTAAGTTCTTCTCCATTTACGCTCAGCCTGACGTTTCTCACGACGAGCAAGGTGAACCTCAGCGTTGTACCAGGGCATCCTTCGACGTACTTGCCTTTTTTTCACAGATGGTGGAGCAAATCTGTCAAGAAGATCGCGCAGTGAGTTATTGTACCACTGGAATGCTGATTCAACATCCCCTTGGTGCACATAGGTCTCAATAAGTTCCTGCAACTCCTTCAAAAACCCTTCCTTATCTATTGACTTAAAATCACGTGACACTTGATAAATTTTCTCTGGTTTTGGAACTAGCATGTCAACTTCTACATGCACAACAAAATGATCGGACATGTGTTTATCGCAAACAACACATTTCTTAATCACAGACGTATCATCTCTTGTGAACACTAAATCCAGAGTATGTCCATGGATATGGGTAGGTTCAGAGACATGTTGCTTCAAGCTAGCAGCCGCTGTTGCTCTTAAGAATGTATTAACATTTGCCATGTCAGGGGTATCCACATGGAAGTTAAAATCTCCAGCAACGAGTAATGTTCCCTGTAGCACTGACAGGTCTGTTAAGAAGGTTTCAAATTCACTCATAAATTGTGAAATAGTAAATCCATTGCTTGAAGATGGTGGAGGACGGTAGACAGCAAAAAGCTGTAAGGAGGACAGTTTACTGGCAAGGTGAACATGTTCAAATGTTACAAAGCTACAAACCCCTTTCATATATAGCTTCAGTTCACGCTTTGCTATTACTGCAATTCCACCTCCACTTCCTGTCTTCTGAGGAGAACTAAAAAACACATATGCAGGTGGAGTGCATTCTCCAATAACAGTTCTATCATCATCTCTAAGCCAAGATTCAGTTATGATGAATACGTCAATATCATGCTCGATCAAATAATCACAGGTTAGCAATGATTTGTTTCTCAATGAACGGGAATTCCAAACACAGATTTTCATTGCTGAAAAGTTTGGTTTTGGAACAGAGAGAATATGACAAGTTTCATGCTTTAAACTTTTTATATCAGATGTTCTTACTGTTATACTATGTACAGGAATGTGTCTCCGCTTGCGTCTACCAGCTCTTTTTCCCCGATGACATTTTTTCGCTATTCCAAGTGAGTAAATGTTTGACCAAAAATTATCCGGCAGTCTAATTAGCCTCACTGGCTTCAAATTAAACAATTCATCTCTATTGTAGCATAACTCTGGTTTTAAATGTTGATCAGAATCCCTGTTTATTTTGTTTATTAAACATCGAGGACCTGGATTAGGTTGAACATCCCCACTAATTAAAAGTTCAGTTTGAATTGTTGCAACTAAATTTGAAAAATATTGGATTCTACCTCTCAAAAATCGATGATGTACCAGTTTCTTAACATGTGATTTATCACAACTAACATCAGTATCGTTTGTAATTGTAAAAGTAAAAATGTTCCAATTAAAGTACAGGAACTGAAGAATGATCATTGCAACATAAAATCCCTTCATTGTTTCAATACAACTAGACAATAGCCGGGCTACAAAAAACAAAATGGCAGCTTACTCCAGTACAGCTAGTATGGTGAAACTTTCAATGAGTGTTACACGGCCAAACTAGGAAAATAGATGATAAAAAGCTGTCTTCCAGGTTCCAGGGTAGTTTTATTTCAATATTATAGCAATTCTTTACCCAAATTTCAAGCAAGTGAAGAAGTTATAACCTAGAATCAAGAGCTCCAAATTCAATTGTGTGCCTATAAAAAATCTCATTCAGTCACTCAGTGATGAGAGAGTGCATACATGTGTGTTCACTCAACTGTATAGCCCAGCTTTAGTTTGTAGCCTGAAATCCAAAATGGCTGCTTATTCCATCATGGTAAATATGGTGAAAGTTTCAACGACTGTTACACGGCCAAGAATGGAAGATAGGTAATAAAAAAAAAAAACTGTCCTCCAGGTTCCAGGATAATTAAATTATAGTATGATACTGATTCTTATCCAAACTTCAAGATGTAATTGAAGAAATTAACTTAAGATTAAGAGCTTCAAATTAGGTGTCTGCCTGTTAGGCGATCACTATCATTGACAAGGGTTTAGTCAGAAAAACGAAATAGGCCGTCCAAAATAGAAGCCAGTGGTCGTGGCACTAAGCCGATGGGTGGGCCATGCCCATCTTTGGGACTCCCCACCGAATGTTGATACGAAAACAACATATATTCAATCAATAAATGTTGCTTTTATCAAACGATGATTTAGATTTAGTTTGTAACATTCGATAGATTTGAAGAATAAAGGAATTTGCTAAATAAAAGGTAGACCAGACCTGCTCCATAATCTTTGTCTCTCACAAAGGCCCATGTATTTCTCAAATTTGACTAGAAATCAAATTCTAAATTTGAAAAATTAAATTTAGAAAATTTGAAATTTGCTAGAAAATGGCAAAAATGCATGGTCTCACATAATGACCCCACATTTTTGGGATTGTTTGTCATGCACTCACCAAATGAACCATATTTTTCATTTTGCTGTTACCAATTTTAATGCCAAAACTCTCGCTTTCATGCATTGACCCCATATATTTTCTTACTGAATATCCTTTTTAAAGTGCCGGCGTGGTAGGAGGTTATAGTCCCCTGGAAATATAGTCCAGGTTTTACAATAAAGTTAAAGACACTCAACTCTATGCAACACTAATAGTTTCACGTTTTACTCTGTGTATGTCTATGAATGCCAAACTACTATAACTCCAGGGGTCTACAGTATACAGTATCTCCTTTCACACTGGCCTTATATCTATATCCATTTCTTATTTAAGATTCTCCTGAACCCAAGTCCACCTTCTGAATTCCCAAAAACGGTTGATGTGTTTTAGGCTTATGTAGGCTAAAGCCTATTTGTAAATGGAAAATGATGTTTTCTTTTAGAATATGCTTTCAACACATCAGATCAAGTAGATGAATAGCAATTTACAAATAACTGAACTGTTACAAGCATTGTGTATGTGCTTGTATTGCGACAATAATATGGGTATAGTTGCAAAACGTTTCTTATCAAGCACCTTTGAACTCCCATTTTCAATGTTAAAGTCAGGCTCCGGAGGAAAAAAAATTGTTAATATGTTGTTTTTCTAAGACAGGAAAAGGTTGTTCGACGAAAATCTGGGTAACGGTGAATGAGATACAGATTTTTGAATATTTAAAAACTGGGGGTCGTGAGCACAAAAATATTAGGTACTTGAACAGCCTCATTCTTTTTTAAAGAAATCTTTATTTATCGCTGTTGCAATACTTTTGATCAGTGTGTGTGTAAATTTGTATATTAGAATTAATACCTGATATGATGATTTTGTACTTTTTTAAATTGCAGTGTGTCACGTCACACTGGGAACAGACCAAACAATGCTCACAATGCCATACTCCCATCGCTCGTACATCGCTGAATCTGAGAAAGTGTTTCCACACTCTGGAGGTTTTATTCCCAGAAATTCATCCAGATCAGTCAACCAACGATGATGACTTTGCATCTTCTCCAGGAGCAGTTTCAGGCAAGATGACAGTGATCAGACTGAATGGGGAAGCGGCTGAAATTGATTGCAATCCACGCTTTACTATCTATAAGGTCAAGCAGCTTGTCTTTGAGTTCTTGAAGGTACCACCGGAGAAACAACGGCTTGTTTACAATGGGAAGGAATTGAAGGTAACAACAGAAATTATAGCCGGTTTTAGTCATTTTTGTGAAAGTGTATATTTGCTAATTTAATGAATGTTATCAAAATGAGTCAACTGATTATCAGACAGTTGCAAGTATAATAGATTTTCAATTGTTTTTCAGTACATGTACATTGCCTGGGGCGGGGGCACTCACTGAACTTACTGTAGGTGACGGGATGTGCGGACACATTTCCCCTTTGCAACTCCCTTTCACCAAAAGACTTGTTTTTGTTTTTTTTTGCTGTCACTTAATGACCTCCTTTTTAAATAATTACGTACCAATTTTAGATTATCTCTCACCCAATGCATTTTCATAATAGACCAGGCTATATTTGAGATAGTTGCCACTTGGAGAGGTAGAAATTCTAATGGTTTTTTTTTTAGACCTGATGGGGAATCAGAATATGTAAGGTAAATGGGCTGTAACCTAAGAACTTTCACATGAGGCTGCTTTTTTCAAAATGGCCGCTAAAATCAAATAAAAAATATATATATAATAATAATAATAATAATGATGTTTTATTTATATAGCGCATATTGCACATTGCCCCTACGCGCTTTACAAAGAAATAATATAGGCCAACTGAGAAAATGCAAATAACAATAAAATAATAACAGTAAAATAAAATAAAAAATAATCATAATAATAATAATAACAATGAGACTAAACTACTCCTATTCCTTAAACTAATTAATGGTTGGCCGTTGATTCTGAGGAGCTCATCCGCACTTTGTTCAGCTGTTGGTTTTTCTTGCTGCTGGGTAACCATAAACACCCTCCCCTCAGCAGCCACTAAGACATATATGGGCAAAATAAGCACATAAGAGGTAGGTTTGACCAAATTTTGAATATGTGTTCTGTAATTCCTTCTATCCAATGCTGTATGTTATTATTATTCATCATGGCATCCTCAATCTGCACCTAGTTCGTACCTTTTCATTTAGGGCATTTTTACATACAATTTATACACCTACTTTATTACATGTTTTTAATTTCAGGACATCCAGTCAAACAACTCAGAAGCTACCCTAGCAACCTATAACGTCAGGCCTGGTTCTACTATCCATCTTATGGTTCTCTTGTACGCTGTACCGACCAGCCTTAACAAAGTAGTCTTCGACCTGTACTGGGGATATCCAGCAAGAGGTAGAGATTATCTAGATGCTTCCGCGTTGATGTTTTCCGGATCAAGTTTCATTGAAGTCGCAGACTATCGTATACTTAACAAGATACATTCAATTCTTCATTCTGGAGATTTAATGGATGACTGTAACATGTTAGGCCATCACATAATAAACGTTGAATTCCATAGCATACCAGCTCATGTAACTAGCATCTTCTTCACACTTAGTGCGTGGAACTCGCCTAAAATATCACATTTTAAGACTCCAAGCCTGAAATTTTACGAGCAATCCAATCCCAGCAAGAAGTTGTGTGAAGATAAAATATCTAAAGCTGGACATAGACAAGCCATAGTTATGTGTTCGTTGTCTAGAAGAGGCGGGCAGTGGTTTGTGGATAGCAACGGTTCTCTTTCTGATGGGAATGCCAGAAACTACAGTAGTCTAATTGTGACCATACAAGGACTAATTGCAAAAATGGGTCAATAGCGTATGGGGTTCCTAGCTGCTGTTCAAGAGATTTCCCATATGTTGGATACTGGAGACTCATACATCCAACACACTATGTAAATTTTTGACATGTTAATGGTGTAGCTAAGTTTTTTTTTTGGGGTGGGGGTCCAGCTGGGTCCTGAAATTGAAACGCAATTTCATTATGTGGCCATTGTGAACAACTAACTCGAAAATTTGACTTTTTGAGTTAAGACCAGGGTCTGTGTACTTTGAAGGTGCTCTTGCTGCTTACACTAATTTAAGACCCCACAAGGCTTCATTTCTGATATTTCATTGAGGTGCGTCAAAAACACATGTATTTTCTATCAAACAGCATATGAAAACAAAGGTATGACATCAGGCGACTGATTTATATATATATATACTGTCTCTTATACACATCTAGATGTGTATAAGAGACAGGTGTTTCCACACTCTGGAGGTTTTATTCTGAAGCCCCTCTTTAGTTTGCAAAAGTAGCCTCAGAAAGAAGCCCATCTAGAAAAGAAGCACATGGCTTTCTTTTCAAGAAAGCAAAAAAATGAATTAAAAAAACTCTGCGTTTAAGTGATTTAATACCAATTAATACACTCCATGATACAGATTGATGTGACAGTGTAGTATTAATTCCCAAATTTTAATATAATTTATATAGGCAAGGTAAAAGTATATGTATTTTCTAAAGTAAGAAGAATTGGTCCGGCCAAAGCCGGTGCGGTTCTGATGGGCCTGGTCTCTTGATTTCTCAGATCTTGCGAGTTCTGGGAGACTTGGGACCCCTAAAGTGTCAATGTTTCTGTCAGGGTAACTTAAAATTGATAATTATTTCTTGTTGCTTAATACCACCTAGAGGTAACTGAGATGTGCTGGACACTAGGGTTTTCATAAAATAGTATTAGATCACTCCATTTGTATTATCATCTGAGGTCCATAATTCTAACAATTTGATATTAGGCCTACTGTAGCTCTCAAAATTAGGCAGTCATGTTTCAGCTCACTTATTATTTTTTTCTTTACTGTCAATTATGTAATACGTATTGTTTTGCCTCGACTCAGAATGATGATGTTGGACAGAGAATTATTTACCTACTTTTAATTGTTTATGGGAAGTGCCTTACATTATCCATTATCTACAATCTGACATTAGGCCTATTATGATTTGATGTGATTTGTTTCGAAATTCTCACAGGTAAACAAAGTTAAAAAACACAAAACAAATAGAGAATTTCAGGATAACCCTTAAAGCATTTCTGTTTATTTTCCAAAATGGTCCCATTGAAATAATAAGAAATAATGCTACAATACAAAAAAGGCCTTCATTTTACCTTATTTCATGTTACCTTATGTTATTCTGCCAAATGATTTTGTTTAACCCTAAAATCAGAAGTACTAGGATGGTCTCTGGTGGGGTATTAAAACTTGGATTGTAGATAACAGACTAATTATGATTAACGCTTTTTTTATGAAAAGTGTTCCCAATCAAGCAATCTAATTTCATGTTCCCTATGTTTTCTTCTAAATGATTTTGTTTTTGGCCCCGGAAGCTATAGTAGTATCAGAAATACTGGCATGGTGTAAGAAGGGTAATAGTTTCATCCTGTAGTAAGAATATGTCATTATTGTATCTATATTAGGTTATTGCGGCTGTTGGTTGATGATGTGCACTTAAAAAAATATATGACAGGAAACTCTCAATACAATGAAGGTTCTACACAACAAAAATGATGATTATTCATTATTTCATGAAAAAAAATAATAAACATAAATAAAAATGTTTTTTTGTTATCAGTGTATCAGTCCATTTACAAACAAGAATCTACAAAGTATCGGTATTAATTAACTACGAAAATGAAATTTAGAGGCACACTTTCCAGGCAAGAGAAGCAGAGGACAGCAAGATGTAGATGGGATAAAACGATGAAAGAGGCTTTTTGGTACGATGGAAAAGGCAACAAGGATTGCACAGAATAGACATTTGTATAATGTTGCTGTGAGAGAAGCTACGCTCTAATTAAAGTATGCTATAACGACTAGAGGGCAGAAGACAATGACATGTTTAAAGGCGAATATCTCCGTTACTATTCATTTTTTAAATTACTGTAATGAGAAATAATATTCAGTTAATCTTCTCGAAAAAAATGGCACCAACATTTTTTTGTTCAATATAAAATTCTGAGACGGAAAAGCGTCGTTGCCATAAATTAACATGAATTGCGAACCAAAATACATAAGCCACTGCACTATTATTACTAACGTTGTACTTTTTACGTTATTAGAACGCTTCGATGAATCCTTTCACGTACTACCAACCAAATAATAATTACGTTGCTGTGACGTATTGTTGTTTTCTTACATAACCTAACCACCATGTTCGCAAACGTTATTATGACTATGTTTGCTGGGTTCTTTTTTAAGATCTCCGGTCTACTTAACAAGTTTATGATAACTTCTTTACTTCCGGTCTCAATCTTCTACACCATATTATATAGCTGAAACAAGACAACACATTTTGGGCATTTGTTGATACTTACTGGATAACTTGTTTAATACAAGATTTGTGGATGTCACCCATATTTAAGATGCAGTGTTTTGTTTGAAGCATATAAAGAATAGCACCAAAGAAGCTTCCACCAATCATTTAAAAAAATAAATTCTATCAATATATAGGAGGTCTATTTTAACTTGCTCACCGCCTTCAAACCATAGGCTACCCGGGCTGTTTACAGTAAAAGTTGTTATTGTTCATGCCACAATGGTTGCGTTTTGGTCCTTACATTATTGAAAAAAATATTTATCGAATGATTTTTTGGTTTGTATTAAATAATTTTATATTTATTGTATTTTTTATCGCAGGCCAAATTACATTCTTCGCAGCAGCCAATGTGTCCTGCTGGCAGGTGTGGCGCCCGGATTTTCGCGACGAGGGTTCAGATTTCCCTGACGAAAAATAAATTTAACAATTTAGGGGTTTCAAAGGCTTATTTAATCGATTTTTGAGTACTAATATGTAGAAAATACATATATATTTTTTTCCTCCCCGACGAATTGTGCTTTTTCTCCCCGACGGGGGGTGGGGGCAGCTCTCCCCGACGAGTGGAGGGGATGGATCTGTGGTGCGCGCTGAACCGTGGAAATCTTCTAGGTCCCCGGCTCAATTCCCAAGTCTGCTCTCCTTGTGTTTCAGCTGGAGGGCTGAAATACAAGTTACAATAGTATTTCGGATGAGACAGGCCTTGGTCCCGAGTGCATTTATGGCCCATGTGCAGGTTAAAGAACGCAGTACACTCTTCGGAAAAGAGTAGGGGATTGTCTCCCGGTGTACTGCTCAATCACCACCAGAAAGACCCCACTGGAAATAAGTCTTCTTCTAGACATTCGTGGGCTATCCTTGGTGTTTACACCGAATAGATCCAATCCAACCAATCCAATAGTAATTAACCTGAGTTTCTTCAGTCAAAACGTCACCCATGCCGAATGTCTATAATTGATAATCAGCAAGAATTATATTCTTTTGTTTTCTTTGAGCTCATGTGTATTAGTGTAGTAGAACTTGCTTATGATTTTCCCAAATGTTATTTTCTACAAGCTCAATTTACGTATAGTATTTTTTTTTCTGCGAGAAGAGAAATTCTATTGATCTACTACCTTTTTCGAACCCAGAATGTAAACACAGTCATGACAAATTACATGTTACAAAAAGCATGTTAAGTAAAATTAATTAATTTTTTATAATTGATAATGTAATATTAAATTAAATTTTAAATTAAATGAAATGCACTGTTAAATGAAAATGAATTTTTTTATTTAAATGGTGCACTTTTCAGAAATTATTTTTATAATTAAAAAATTTAATAATACAGTAATCTAAATTATTTAAATGGAATTAAAATGGAATTAAACGATATACAATGATTAATGTAGTATTACAGTATAAATTATGTGATATAATGCAAAAGTGAAATACATTTTTTATAATTATTTTTATTTTATATTTTTTATTTATAGGAATATTTGTATAATTATAATTATTATTTTCTAATGTTATTGGTATGTTCCTGCTTAATTAATGAACATTTGTAAAATCTAGTTTGGACAGGCACATCTTTATATCTAGAATTGAGCATGTTTTGTTGTTTTTGTTGACAGCCTTGACAGCGAGAGGTCGCAGGTTCGAGTCCCGCCAGAGGCATTTTATTACACAATTTCTTTATTCATTCATTTACAGGACTACATTCGTTGAGAGCTATGCTACGCGATGTATTATTGTCCTTTGTTAAACACTGTATTTACCTTTCTTTGATGATTTATTATATATATATATATATATATACATATATGTATATGTATATATATGTATATATATATATAATATATATATATATATATATATATATATATCGAATAGATACAAGAAAAGAAAACTGATGTCTTTTTTGTGGATCACACAGCGCCCTCTACATCACTAAATATCGACAAAACTACTTCGTCAGTCAGTTCTTGTATTTTTATTCTCAAATTACTATGAGTAACACTTACAAAAATATATAGAAATTATTGTAACACTCCGGTTTGAAAACTAAAAGAGAAAAATAAGGAAAACCTGGCCTATTTGATATTTACACTTATAAAAAATCTTAACAAAACAGTTCAAATGAATTCCAACATGATGCAAGTGTACCAATTCTAAAGTTAATGTATAAAAGGGGAGAACTCTGAAATTTTTATCTAGAAGTCACTTTCGTTACTAAGTTTACAAAATCGATTGTTTGCATTACTGAAGTGGTCTGGATTATATTGAAGAACAGGCTAAAGTCTAGGGTTCGCATCTATATATTATTTCCTCCAGTCATCAATTAAACAACGTTCTACTACTTGCTGGAGGCGATGATCACCTTGGAAAAAAAAAACCTAAACAGGATGTGCACAGCAGATCCCTTAAATCTGTCCAATTGCGCTTGGCTGGTTTTCAATTTTTCTTCAATCTGGAGATGACTATTATACTCGACATAACCGATGTTTCATCTCCTAAAATCAACAGTTAAGTTGACCCATGGCCAGTGTGGTACCGGTAATACTTAATACCTTTTCGCTTGTCCATCCCATACCAATCATTCTAATAATGATCTATATTTTAATGATAATATATTCGTTTTTGCATTTAAATGCTACCCCTGCGTTCCACACTCGCGCAGTACAATGCATTGTAATTGTTAGTTAAAGCGGTTTTTTTTTTTTTTTTTTTTTTTTTTTTTTTTTTTTTGCGAGTTTAATCCCCTATCGGCATGCCTCAATGTACCGTATTTTTTATCTTTCATCACCGACAGAAAAATCATCTTAAATAACTTTTATTACTGTAAGTATTACGGTATCTGATCAATAAGACATTTTCTTTCTCTTTTTGGTTATACTACGTACAGGAGCTATATTGTACACGGAACCAAATACTTTTTAACGTGTCTTCCCCAGAATACCACAGTACCAAAAGTTTAACCAACTGATCTATGCTGCTCCTCTGAAATAGATGCTACGCGCTCTGAATACCAGCCAAGCAAAAGATTCAATCTAAATTTAAACACTAAAAAAATGTGATTAGTGATTAGTTTAAAACATGAGACGACTAAAATACAACGGCAAGAAGACCATTTCAAATGCTTAATTTGTAACGATACTGGCATTCAAATAAATCTTTCAAATATGACGTGTGACGTCATAATAATACAATATCAGACAATTCTTAATTTTCTCTACAAGATTTCCGTTTTATTTCTTTGAAATAATAGGAATTTCGAAACAATTGAATAAAATCAACTATAAAACTAGACTTACGTAAATCCATTTCAAATAATCTAATCTGCAATTTAGTACCAACTGCAATAAATATAAATAGTATTATACACAATATCATATATTTCTTCAAGATGAAAGAAGTTTAGTTATTTACATTATTTATATGTATATTTATATAAATACGAATAACTGAATAATGAGTCTGATTAAACTCAACCTAGCTTCCATATTCGTGCATTTGCTATTGTTTTTGTTTATTTCTGATAATAAATACAGTACGCACATAATGTAAGCTTACACAATATCATTCGCAAAGCACTTTTATATTTCATAGTTGCGTTTAAAATATTGCATACTTTCTAAAAATAAAACGCAAATATGTAAATACGTTGTATCAAGGCAATTAAACGTAATTTAATTTTATTTAATTGTCTTGGTTGTAATAATTTACCCTGACAATGTGAATTATATCACAGGAGTTGCTGCATAAGATCTATGCTATAATAGAGTAGGCCATATTGAAAGTGCAATTTCTTCCTTCAGAACCACTTGTTTGGTTTGTTGAAGTGGACGGTTGTCATGTTCTGCGACTCATACCTATGGCTCAGTTGAGCTTCCTAACAAGCGATTGTCGTGGGCGCGACACGGCTTCACTTATTATTTATAGGTTTTACGGTACTACTATTAATTTTGTATTACAAATCATTATTTACACGTGTGAACGTCATATTCCCGTTTGCACTGCTTGCAGACGACCTCACAACACCATATGAATTGGCAATCGCAACGTTCAATTCTCTCCACCCGCTGCGTCCTGTACCCGCGTTGACAACACATTAATTCACAACCGTCAATAGCGTGCGATGACGCGTTGCACACTCGTCCTGTTGTGCCAAACGATCCATTGTCTGGATCATAATCGCAGTAGGTTGGAGATGTTTCGTAGTAAACTAAGTCACTTTTTGTTGGTTTCTTGAACATTTTGTACTTTGGTTTGAGTGAATATTCGCTGCCGCGTGTTGTCACCTGTGGAATGACCACCATCTCCTTGGCGCTGTCGTAGCGAACTTTGAGATTGTCACCAAGTTTGCGAAACGAAGTTTGTTGCCACCAACATGTTTTAAATTCACATGTTCCCGATATCCCATGACATTTACAAGCGAGCTCTACGGAATTTATGACAGCCTGAAAAAAAAATGCACCATTGTTAAAATATAGGCCTACTTGAGCTAAATACCGTACTCGCGCGAATAGGCGCCCCGTTTGAATAAGCGCCCCGTTTGAATAAAGCGCCCCTCTCGAATAATATCATAACATTTTCTTTTTAGCAAGTCAATAATCCAATCAATCCTGGGACTGTGGTTGTTGACATGATTTGAGTTAAAGAGTGGAATCACACATTTCTTATGTCAATATCAAAATGAGGATATTTCTCTTGGACAGATGAGAGCTCCGATCCCTGGACAGACAGTAGGCATATATATTTTTAACTTTCCACTTCTTACATATTTTTCTAGGCCTTGCCCTACTCCTCTTTTTCTTTTTCCGACAATTTGCATCTTTAGCACATTCTCATCTGAGAATCTTATAACAAAAATTATAATTTGCTTTAATTGACGGTACGTTCAAAATTCGAAATAAATACTGTACATTTTTCATTAATTACTCAGTAAAATCTGACCATTTCAAGATTATATAAAGCAATGAAATGAAATTATTAATGAAAAAGTTACATGTGAACAAACACATGTGGGGCACAATGGCACCTACATAATTTATAAATAATGTCATTAAAAATGTGTTCAAGGGAGCAGAGGATATAATAAATACTACAATACGATTGTCACTGATAATTGTTATAATAATTTTCTGGTAGGACTGACGATAAATAATTAAAATAAAAAATTCTAATAACAATAATTAAATAAAAATAAATACTATTAATAATAATAATAACAATAATTAAATATAAATAAATAAATAGTAGTCATAATAATAATAATAATAAATAATAATAACAATAATAATATTAATAATAATAATAATAATAATTTAAATGAAAAACAAGCTAAAAAAAACCCTATTTATTAACACTAGAAATAACAGAGCAAAATGCCAAAATGACCAATATTGTGGCTTCCTCAATATTCACAGCATTATGTCATGAACCATTTTCTCTGGACGATTATCTTTTCCTCCGCGCTACCATTCGTAATGTACTTATTTCATTTAAAAAGTGCCTCTTGAATTTAATAAGTTCCCATAAGAACCCCTCGATTTTCATCTATTTCCATAAACGCCCCTCAATTTCCACTCAGTTTTCATAAGCGCCCCGTTTAAATAAGCGACCCGTTTGAATATAAGCGCCTCTCAAAATGTGCAAAAAATATTTAAGCGCCCGGGCGCTTATTCGCGCGAGTACGGTAATGGAATGTTTATTCTTACAGAAGTACAGGCGTGTATGAAATACTCACTTAACAGCAAGCTTTCAAACAATTTCGAAATTTGAATAAGTAACAGGTGTCAATGAAACTTATGACCAATCAGAACATGGCCTGGGACACGCGGACGACCTACAAATACACGTGTTTATGTACGTTTCTACCATTTTGTGGGACCTAAGCAACAAGATCGGAACATCGTTATGGGTGATAATACTTAAAACAGTAGGCTAGTTAGTGGTTATACCTGACGGCCTGCTTCATTATTGTGTCGATTCATCGCTGATCGTGCGTTTCTGTTGTCTTCTCCTGGGTTTAAAAAACTTCTGCTAAATTTTACTCCGCTCATGACATCTTCACTGCATCCACCCCACTTCCATGTTTCATTAGGAGTGATGTCATAATTGTGGTTTCGAGGTCCACGGTGACGTCCATCGCACCCACATGTCAGCAGATCACCACGTGAGCATGATCGCGTAACTGCGTGCACCATGCCTGCTGCAAGTATACTATGCACAAACGCAGACTCCCTTGATCCTAGAAATAAATAGAAAATACCATGTTACTTAATGATCTAGGCCTACGAGTATTTTAAAGAAAGATGCAACTACAGACCACGATGTTTACTCAAGTAATTAACACACTGACAAACACGCATTAGAACCCCTATTAAGTGAACACCTTCGGAACCAAAACGGTAAAACCTGGGGGTTCCTGTGAATTGGGGTACCCCTATTTGAACTCACTAACTAAAGCGGTGTAATTGTCCAATAAGGATTTTCAGGGGTCCCAAGTTGGAAGAAATCCCTTCCGGGATATCTGTTAAATGAGCTTTCTTAACATAGAGCCCATTTAATAATTTAAGCTTGCTGCGCACTTTGATACCTATCTGCACTGACTTCGGAGAAACAATTGATAATAAGGTAGTAAACATACGCAAATGTTATGAATTTTTGGGAGATGAGTTATTTTCCAGGAGATTCTTGTTTGCTTGTGGCAGTGCGGGAGGCCGTCCCGATTCCCGGGAGACTCCCGCGACTTCCGGAAGACTTGGGACCCCTGGATTTTTGGTACGTAGTCACACAGATTCTGTATCTTTTGCAATGCAAATACAATTCTCCTTCCAGTTCCAGACCACTTTGGGACCTGAAATTTTGGGGGTGGTTTGGGGTTTGGTCTCCTCTTAGAAGGTTAGCTTTGTGTTAAAAGATTGACAATTTGGTTCTTGGAAAAAGGGGTCTCGAACTTAATGGGAGGGTGCAATGTGCATAATAAGGAATTAACATGAGAGTAATTAAAATAGATGTATATTGTTTTAATTTTTTTTTTTATAATATTGAGCTTTTCAGTGGACGCACAAGTTACAGCAGCATAGAATATACGAATGGCTTTAGAATATCAGGGTGTAGGTTACGGTGTATTGGTATATAAAAATACACAGTAAAAAGAAAACAAAAACTCATCCCAATTTGAACTTCCAATCGAAGCCTCAATGGGCCAGTTGGTTAAGGCATCTGTATAGACAGCAGAATGTCCCTAATTCGAATCCTGGTTGAGGAATATTTTTGTTTCACACTCGCAGTTTCCCCTACATTACTCTTTACAATTTATATA